ATATATAAGTAGATATTTTATATAAGCATATGTATATTTATATATAGCTATTATAGGTATATATACACACATATAAAAATACAAATATAAGTATGTACTTTTTTATACATAAGTATATGTATATACTTATGGTTACATGAATAAGTATATACCTATATAAACAAGTATATATATATACTTGTATGTATATTTGTATATGTAATATATAAATATATACTTATATGTATATATATTTTGTATATATGAGGGAACTTCAAAAAGTTTATGGAAAAATTGAATTAAAAGATAATGAAATTTCCCATGAATTTTTGAAGCCCCTTGTATAAATTTGACATACTCACACAGAGCTTCAATATTACTTTTCCAGGAACTTACAAAATTCCTCGTGTGTGTGTGTGTGTGTGTGTGTGTGTGTGTGTACATGTGCTCATTTAACAGATGCAGAGACTAAAGCGCAATGAAGCAAGCTCTCCCAGCTAGCAGGGAGTGTGTAAATGAAGTCCATGTGTAAACCAACGCACCCTTAGGCCACCCTGACAACCAGGGTGGTCAGACACTCCAGGGCTAAGAACCACAGGGGATGAGGTTATTAGTCTTGGGCCTGGGACAGAGAGCACCAGAGAGTGCCAGCCAAGCTGAATAAATTCACTGCAGGGCAGGCTTAACTCTCCCCACCCCCAGACATTTGGCTAAGGATCCAGGAAGGTCTTCCATCTGATCTGCCCAGGGAGTCTTGCTCAGCTGGGGAGAAACTGTGCCTGCCTCTCACTTTGTTTATGCCTGAGGGTGGTGGGCTGCAGATTCATTCCTGTCTCTGCCCCCCACGGTGGTTCCTGCTGGTCCATGTCCAAGCATGGCCGCCCTAGAGGAGCAGTGACAGGCTGTGTCCTGCCTTAGGGCCCCTCAGCTGTGACTCACCTCAGGAACTGTAGGCCCCCAAGTCCCTGCAGGGCCCCAGCCAGCCACACTGCTCTTCCACGAATATAGAGGAGGAGGAGGGCAGGGTGCTACATCCACACAGCACCCGCTTGGTCTGCCACCTAATGCAGCCCTACAAGCTCAGTATGAGACCCAGCAAGATAGCTGAGCCCCTACCAAAGCCCACAGCCCAGCCTGCTCAGCCCAGCATGCAGGCACTCTGCCTCCCAAGCCAGTGTCTGCTCCAGGGTTCATGGGGCACTGGCCAGGCTCCTTCTGCACAGAAACTGCACATCTGCCAACTATTAGCACTGGCCGGAACCAGCAGAGACTACCCACACAGGCTCCTACTTAGTGGCCCTATCCCAAGCTCTCCAATCCTCCCCTGGCCTGGCAGCCCTTTATATACCCCACCCCGTCGGGAGGGCCCAGGAATCTGCCAGAGCCACTGAGCTGACCCCTCAGCCACTCCCTGGAGCTGGGGTATGCCCCTTTAACTTCGAAACATTGGGGTATAATGGCATACGATGGACAGATCTGAAGATCAGATCCTGAATCTGCCACCTCGCTCAGTTCAAGTCGTCTCCTGACCTCCAGAGAGATCATCATCCCCATTGCCGTCGCCATCGCTGACCCTCACCAAGCGCGCACACAGCATGCACGGCACCCCGCACTCTCCAGGGACTGAAGAGGGCATCCCGGGAACAGCCCATCTTACAGACTGAGGATAGTGGAGCCCCTGGTTTCCCTCGGAGTCCCCACTCCATGTGCTAGCTGTAGACTATAAACACGTAACCAGATCCGTTCAGCCTCAGTCTCCACATCTGCACATTAGGGATCAGAACACTGTACGGTGGAGAGCCAGTCGGTGAGTCCAGGAGGCGATTCCTAGCAAGAGCGTAGATGACCGGGGCACGTAAACCAACCCAAACTCACGGCCATCGGGTCAATTCTAACTTCTCTTGACCCTGCAGGACAGGGTGGAACTGCCCCTGTGAGTGTCCGAGATGGTAACTCTTTGAGGGCCTAGAAAGCCCCATCTTTCTCCTACTGAGCAGCTAGTGGTTTTGAACTGCCAACCTTACAGTTAGGCACTTAGCCAATGTCACCTTTATGCTCCTCACACTTGCCAGGGGCCTGTCCTAGGCCCCTGCCTGGCACCTGCTTCGCCCACAGCCCCGCACAGGCCCTCCCACAGCTCAGCTGTCAGCCCACCACCTCCCCCGCTTCCCCCTAGATCCTATTCCCAGGGATCCGTAGTCCCCAGGGACCTTTCCCCTCAACCCACCTCTATGCCCCACCAAATCAGAGGTGGTTGGCATTGAGAAAACACATGCACACACACACACACACATACACTCAGAGAGTTAGCTCCCCAACTGGCTTTACCACTCCCTAGATGTGTGTCCCCTCTAGCCTATAAACCCTGGTTTCCCCATCTGTATCATGGGAACCCTTTTTAGGATCTCCCAGGCCTGTGAGGATCAACTAGAATCCTAGGGCGTATTCGCTATGCGCTGTGTGAAGGCCGGTCTTTATTTCGACAGAGGCTGGATCCATGTGACAGCCTTCAGCCTTCTCTCTGAACAGATACTCGGCAGCTCCCGACCACAGACACTGCTTGCCCTGATGCCACAGGCAGGCCTGTGGTGGCAAAGGCACAGATGCCAGGTACCAAGAGTCAAGTGGAGAGGGAGACCGGCTGGGACGAGGTGTCCAAACGCATGGTCCTTAGGGTCGGCCCAGGAGGCCGTACAGTTGAGCCAGTCAGTGATCTTGGAACTTTTGGCCCAGCCTAGGGCAGGGAAGGTGACAGACAGTGCAGGAGCACCGCAGATAACCGGAAGCTCAAGTCCTGTGGGTAGGCCTGACTCAGGACTCTTCCTCCCATGATGCGTCAGGGCCACAGTCACTGACTTAGGAGACACCCAGGCAATGAAGGTGACTGGTGTTTCCCTGCCTGGCTTCTAGGAGCTCCCGAATGTCCCTTTCAGATTTGAGCTGCAGACAAGGCCAAAGTCTAGGGCTTTTCCAGGGCCAGAGATCAAGGCCCACCTGGGACCCTGGGTACTCGAGAGGCCATGGCCTGGGTGATGCCCATGGAGGCCACAGCCCCACCAGGACCCAACTTAGCCACCTACCCTCACTGCAGCCTGGGGTCCTGTCCACGGTGGAGATCTTTGATCTTCCTCCAAGTTCCCTAGCCTGGCCTCACGCCTACTTGGGGGCCTCAGCTCCTGGGGCATCCCGCATGCCCCCCGCTCTCATCCTTGACCTTCACTTGCCAGGCCTTGCCCTCCCATGACTCCTGTCTTCCTCTGCTTCCTGTCCACCTGGGCCAGTAGCCCTCTCAATGCTCCTGTGCTCAGGCCCCTCCCTGACCTAAGACTCCTCCCCCTTACACCTGCAATTACCCTGAACAGATGAAGCCACTGCAGAAGCAGGGGTTAGGGGCTTCCAGGCCTCCCCAGTCCCTCAGTCACATGGAGGGGTTCTCAGAGAACAGGTATGGCCCTTGGTTTATTGAGGGGAGTTCCAGATAGAGGAAGCCACCAGCAACCCATTCCCTACAGCCCTTGAATCCAAGGCCAAGTGATGGGAGAATCTGCCTCCCCCACCGAGCCTGGCTCAGCACCCTGCTCCCAGGCCCCCTCCCTGGACTCCTCTGCTCCTTGCACCCTGGCTAAGGCTGGGAGCAGAGACGCAAGTCCCATGGATTAAAGGGCAGGAGTCGAGGCCGAACACTGCTGGGATAGAAGCCCCTTCTCTCTGATCTGTGTCCACCTCTCTGGAAATCCAGAATACTTCACCCTGAGGGCTCCCTGTAGCTTCCCAGGGCCTGGCCCATCCTCTCTCCTCTCTCAGATGACTACATGCTCCCCTCCTGGGCACCTAGGCAGGGGTTCTTCCTTGGGACTCAGGCTTTGCCCACAGAGGGACCTGGAGACCCTTACAGCTGCTGTAGGGAGAGTGGAGGGGCTGCTGGCCTGGCCACCGCAGGCCCCTGCTCTCCAGGCTCTCAGGAGACTACACAACAGCTGCCCTGCGCTGCCCTCGGGCCAGGAAACAGAAAGCACTAGGTGGGCATGTGGGTGGGCAGGTGGGCTGGGCTCAAAGCAGGCAGGGAGAACATCGGAGATCAGGGTACTTCCAGGGGCAGCAGAGGCGTGTCCGAGCTCTGGGTGGAGATGCTGGGGGACTCGTGCCCGATGAGCCCCAAACCACGCAGATTGAGGATGGAGTCGGCGATGATGCGGGCCGTGTGCTTCTGGTACCCGCCTGACGTCACCATGAGGATGGGCACCTGGTGGCCGCGCACCATGCGGAACACCAGCTCGTCACGTTTCACGATGCCCTGGTGGGTGGAGAGGGGAAGACGGGTATCAGGAAGTCCTGCTGCAAGTCTAACCCTGACCCAGCAAGATTGCTGCTGCTGCTGCCGCCGCCGCTGTTTAACTTTTCCCTCACATCAGGAGAAGCACCAACGTCCCCGCCACTTTCCCTGCTGCAGCTGAGTCCCGGCGAAGACCCTTCCCATCTCTGGCTCAGGACCCACCTCTGGGCTAATGGACAGCCCCCCGAGGCGGTCTCCCTCCAGGACATCGGTGCCCGCGTTATACACGACCACGTCGGCCGGGTGCTCCCGGAGGGCTTTCTGGATGTTCCTCTCCACCTTTTGCAGATACTCCTCATCCTCGGTGCCCCACTCCAGCTCCACCTTCCGCCGGATGGCCTCTGAGACAGACACAGGGCAGCCCCAGTCGGCAAAGGAGGGCAGACAGACTACACAGGGTCCCAGAGAGAGGCCATCAGCCACCAGCCAGACCTGAAAACCAAGCCCAACTCCAGAGACAAAGATGCAGCTCCACTTCTCACTCTGCCCAAAATTAACCGACAGCAATCGCCGTGGGCTGTCAAAAACGAAGGTGCAAAGGTAGGGGGTGGTGGTGGGGGGATGAGAGCACATGCTCTTGCTCAGGGCTCTGGGGACCCACAGCCCAGATGTGTGCACCCTCAAGCCCCATATCAGCACTTCAAGGCTCAACTCAGAAACTAGTCCCCCTGGTGGCTGACCTGCCCTTGCTAACACCTCGGGCATGTGTGTCCCCAGTCTGGGGCCCTGGCAGGCGCCCGTTTTCTACCTCCTCTCTGAGAGGAGACTCTGTCTTTGACGGATGCATTTAACCCACGTTCAGAGCGGTTGTGTTGAAAGGTATGCTCCCCCCTCCCCCATTTCCTGTGTGTCCTTCCTGACCTTCTTCCGGTCAGAAGACCACCTAGGAGCAACCCTGCTCCACGAGGGGTGACTTCAGAAGCGATCCGTGGGCTGTCAGGAGTGCTGGTGGCACTGTGGGTTGGGCCATGGGCTGCAGTTCAAATCCACCAGCTGCTCCTCAGCAGAGAGATGAGGCTGTCGGCTTTCGTGAAGACCTACAGCCTCAGACGCTCCATCGAGTCGCTGAGGGTCAGACCTGACCCGGCAGCAGTGGGTTGGGTTTGGCGTTTTGTGTGTATTTAAGAGAGCTGCGAGGCCATCAGCTAGAGGCCCCGCGGGAGCAAGATGCAGCTTTCTACTCCTGTAAGCCGCTACCGTCTCGGAAAAGCACAGGGGGGGTCTGGGGGGCAATTCTACCCTGGCCTATAGGGTCGCCGTGACTCAGAATTGAGCTTGGTTGAGTTTCAGAGCGGCTGATGTGATCTTAGGTGGGTGAGCTGACTGTGGAAGGTTTCCGTTTTCTCACCGGAAAGATGGAAATCATTCAACTTAGCCAGGGTGCTGGGGACTTCTGCAGGGTCCTGAGCATAGCAAACACCCAGGAGAGAGGACCCCCTACCCCAGCCAGAGGGCTGGTCCGAGCCAGGGCGGGGGCAACTCACGCTTGGCGAAGTGGTCCCCGGGGTAGATGTGGCGGTTGTAGACATCCATGATGTACACACGCTTGTCCCCCAGGAAATCCCGCTCATGCCCATTGCCCTGCAGGAAGAACACAGGGCCACTTACAGGCCAAGGGCCCTCCCTACCCCCTGCCCCAGCAAACTCCCCCTGGGCCCAGGCCACACACCACGTCCAGGGTCAGCACTCTGAGGACTGCTAAGTGGCAGAGCTGGGATTGAACCTCGGTACATGGCCCGTGGCCTTCGCCTCACCTTGAACAGCCCCCACACCCCATTTGCTCTGGGTTGGGGTCATGGATGTCAAGGCCGAGGCTGTACTGGGGCTGAGCACACATGCCAGAGCAGCAGCTCCTGTCTTGGTCTAGGGTCTCGGGGTGCCCTGAGCTCAGGGCAGGACCCCAGCCAGCACAAGGCTGCAGTGACAGTGGGGGCAGGGGGTGGGGGTGGCCTTCCAGCACCTGTGTGATCCGCTACCTTGTCCCCAACCAGGGGAAGCAGCCTATTGGGAGTCCTAAGGAAGAGGGGTCTCCATGCTTTGGGACTGTCTGCTAGGTAGTGAGCACTTACACAGAGGCGCCAGGGTCCTGGAAAGTGGCCAGGCTCCCCAGCTTTGAGCAGGAAGCAGTGGGGAGCCATAGCAGAAGGTATGAAGCATGGGCACCTTGCTGCCAGGCTGGGTTTTAGGAAGAGCCATCAGCCTGGCCTGTGGTAGGGCAAGGGAAGCAGGGGTAGGGGGTGGGGGGTCATGAATGGAAGGGCCCAGGTAGAGCAGGGCAATGAGCAGGGCCTGGCCCCTGGCTGAGGCAAAGATGGCCCTTCCAGTGCTGGCAGGGACAGCTGAGGCCAGCTGGGGTGGGGGTGGGTTGTTCCCAGAGAGAGGGGCACTCTCTAATGAGGATGTGCAGCACAGGTGGAGGCAGCTGGAGATGGGGGGCCCCAGCCTACCTGGCACTCACTCACCTGATGGGCATCCAGATCAATGATGGTGGCCTTGGAGATGCCCTCCACCCGCTCAAACAGAAACTGTGTGGGAGCAGAGGGCAGACATCAGCACACGGGTATCAGGGGGACTCAGGAGAGGGAGCTCACAGGCAGGTGCACAGACCACCAGGTGGAGCTGAGGGGGGGCAGTCAGGGGGAGCTGCCTGGAGGAGGGGCGGGAGCTGCTGAAGAGCAGGGGGCTCTGCTTAGGGTCCACCCCCCACCCCCAGGTATCATCCTGCAAGGCCTCGTTCGTATGCCTCTTCCTCCAGGAAGCCTTCCTGACTTCCTTGCTCTGCAGGAAGGTCTCCCATGCCTTCCCCTCCTCAACCATCTGCCTCTGATTCATCTGCGTTCCCCATGGGAGCCAGGGGCACCTCAGCTCAGCCCTGTGCCCAGCCCAAGGCTGGGGGCCTAATAGATATGGAGGCTGGGGCCAGCCTGCCCCCTCACTGCCCCTTGCTGTCCTCCTCTACAAGATGAGGGAGACTACAAGTTCTAGTTCACAGAGAACAGAGGCCAGCACGGGGCTGAACATGCTATCATGCCAGCTGCGATGACCCTCACCAGCATCCTGCCTCCTCCCCTCCCCTCCTTTCTTTCTCCCACACTTTCATCTGTTCACCATACACCCCTGCCTGCCCCAGGGCCCTGCCACCTTTAAAGACTGCAAGCTCCACCTTCCGTCACAGACAAACCAGGAGTTGAATTTGAACCTCCCCTCAGGTTTGGCTCCCTTTTCTTGGGTGGCAAGGAGGATGCCGGGGCCATTCTGGGGCCTGACCAGAGAAGGCTCTGGGAAGTGAGTCCTAGTGTGCCCTCCCTACCCATGCTCAGGACTCACCTTGATAGCAAGTGTAATGTCTGCATAGGCACAGAAGCCCCCGCCCCGGTCGCTGGAGCAGTGGTGGAAGCCACCTCCTGCAGTGGGGCAGACAGAAGGGCTGGTCAAGGCCGGTGCCCAGGGCTCCCACCCTCTCAACATCCTCTGGCTGAGCCTCTGGTGCTCGCTCACACCCCAGGGGACGGGTGCTCATGCATCCAGCCAGTCCTTACTCAGAGCATGGGCCTGCCACTGTGCACTCCCCCATGCCGGGGGAGGGAGCACCAGCGTTGACAGGAGGATGTCTATTCATGGAAGAGTTACAGCCTCAGAGGCCCACGGGGTGACTCTACCTGTCCTAGAGGTACTTGGAGTTGGGGTCATTCAACGGCAGTGAGACAGTGGGAGAGCAGATGGCTAGACAAGGGTCTTTGGCTGGTCCTGGCTGTCCATGGGGATGGAAAGGAACCTGAAGATCATGGTCTACCTCCAGCCCCTCCACCACCCCTCCCACCCCAATCTGCTCCCTGAGACCCCAGCCTGCAGCACCTCTTTCCCAGCAGGGCCAGGGGACTGCACTGAAAAACCCTCTGCAACCAGCCCCACCTGCGGAGGGGGCCGCTGGACCACAGGATCCTCGGGGGGCTTGTCTTTCTCACCACTCAAGAAGCCTTGTTGGGTAACGCTAGGGCAAAAGTTCACGGAGAGTGAACTGGGTCCTGAGGTCATCAGAATACTATCATCATCATCATCACCATCTTACAGGTGTGGAAAACCGTGGCACGGAGAGGTTCCGCTACTTGCCCAGGGTCACACTGCTAACTCATGGCAGAATAGTATTCAAAGCCAGGCTGGATCAGGACCGCTGCCCTGAACTGTTTGGGACAGGCCACTATGCTTTCCAACGAGGGAAGAGCCAGACCAGTCCTGGGTGGGAGCCCTGCCATCAGTAGACAGTAGCGACACAGCACTGTCACCACGCCAGGCCTGACACGGGGTCCCGGCAATGCCAACATGCCCAAGACTCATGCCCTGCCCTTTCAGGGCTAATGACCCACGGCCCCGCTGGGGCTCTGGGCAAGCCACCGAGCCTCTCCTAATGTTTTCTCATCCATGAGGCAGACCCAATAACAACCATGCCAGGCCCTTCGGGAGGCCCAGGGGGAGAGGACTGTGCAAACTGTAAAGTGCTGTCCATCCATGGAGGACAATGACAGGCCTCAGGAAGACTGTCTGCTGGGTGCAGCCCACCCATGAGCAGACTTGCCCATGGCACTGCTTTGGGTGGGTGCACATGGGCTCTCAGGATCCCTAGGGAAGAAATGGCACTGACCCTTGGTCTGCCACAAAGTGGCCATGTCCTCAAGGGCTGTCCACCACAAGGTAGCAGGCAGCCCTCAAGGGAGCCTCCCAGAGGCAAGCTCTTCCCCCTGCAGAGCTGTCCAGGAAGACATGGACACTGGGGAGGAGGCGGCCTCTGGCTTCAGCCATGGGCAAAGGAGGGTTGACAAGCCCTGGAGGCTGAAGCAAGGACTCCACACCAGATGGACTGGCTGGCTGCCCCTGCCAGGGGTCCCATAAGGAGCGCCAGACCTCGAGTCCAGGACTCCCCCCCTCCCCCTCCCCCTAGTCCCTCCCTGCCCCCAGGTCCCTGCAGCCAGACTGTCTTCAACTGCTGCACACTCACCCACGTTGATGGCCCAACCTCGGTCCACGGCCAGCTTCCCTGCCTTTAGAGATAAGCACAGGTGATGCCAGGTGCCCGAGTCCTGCCCACCCCCAGTCCTCCTTCTCCCACCATGCAGCCCGACCCCCCTCTGGCTGCCGGGGCTCTGAGGAGGAGGTAGGGGCCCCCTGAGAATGCATCCTCGGGACTGCGTGAGTCCCAGAGGCAGGCCCAGGTGGACTGGCCGAGGGCAGGACTGGTATCGGGACCCCTTCAAAATGTTGCCAGGGAACCTGTGTGGACTTCATGTCATCGTGTGCGCATGGATCATGGTTTAAATGTGGCCCCCACAGAGCAAATCTGCTATGTGTTGCAGCCTGGATATTGCAACCCTATAGGAGATCATCGTTTCAGGTGGACAGCAATAGTCCCCTAACCAAAGAAAGTACACATTCCCAAAGCTGCAGAAGGCATTCAAGGAAAGGGCCATGGCTGGCTCACACATGACCGGTAGAGTCTGTGGAGAGGACCCAACAGCTCTGGGAACAGATAGCAGTGCATGTTCGCCGTCGCAAGGACGTGTCTCCAAAGTGGTTAAAGCGGTAACTTGTATGCTGTGTGTATTGTAGGCAGTTTTTTAATAGAGGAATAGAAGCAAACAGAAAAACGTGAGAAGGACCAGTGAGTGCTGATCCAGGGCAGGGTTAGTTCCTCATAAACTTAAGACGGGAATGTTCCTCGGCCTCCCACCTTGCTGGCAGCCTGCTGCAGCAAACGTTTAGGACGGGCAACCTAATTGCCCTTCATTGCCGCCACCACGATAGGGTTGGGGGGCCATCATCCATCGTTTCCGTAAGGGGTCCATGTTCCATGCTGCATTTGGCTACGGTGGTGACACCACACTGGGAAAGGCTCTCTGGGGGATGGTGCTATCTCCCACACACCAGAAAGTCCAGGCACTGCGACAGAAGGTCGGGGCGAAGGGACAAGGAATTCTAATGTCCCAGAATGAGAAAGGCTTCTTGCACAAAAGAGCCCTGGTTGGGGGCCTTTAGGAATTTCCTCGACTATCAGGAGGTGGGGGGGGGGGCATTCCAAACAGAGAGTCCAGGCTGGGGAGGAGTCCTGGGGATGGGGTCCCAGGTCCAGCCCCTCCTTTCCAACTCCCTGACCTACCATGATGGTTCCTCCCGTCTGGGTCCTCAGGGGCCTCAGCACCTTTCTTTGCACCAGGAAGTTGGGGAGGAAGATGACAGGGGGGATCTCTGTGATGGTCGCCACGGCGAAGGACCACTGTGGAGAGAGACACAGCCCTGACCTTCTCCGGGCCACGCCCGAGCCCAGCGTGAATGGCCGAGTCCCGGCAGGGTCCATCGTAAGAAATGAGAGCCCCCCACCAGGGCGGGTTCCCCGAAGGTGAAGCCCCGCTCTGAAGCCCATCTCCTCCCTCTTGTGGCCAAACCAAGAGGTGCATGGGTCCACACCACAGCCACCGAGCCCTAAAACTGTGGGGAAGGGGACACTGAGACTGGACAAGGGAGGGGATATCCAAGGCTAGGAAGAGCTGAGAACGGACAGCCAGGTCTCTGTCCTCACCCGCTTTCACCACGGGGCCGCTCAGCCACGGAGGATCATGGATCCCAGTGGAGTGTGATGGTGGGCCAAACCAAAGCACGTCTACCCACAGGGAAAGACAGCGGAGTGGAAGAGGGGCCAGGAGCGCATGGTGGGAAAGGAGACAGGCTTAGCAAGGCCAGGCGCTGGGTCAGCCAGGAGGCCCCTCCATGAAGCAGGGGAAGGCTCAGGACCCCATGCAGCTCCCTCAAGGGCACGGTCTTGTCTGAAAGGAGAGGGGCTCACCTGGCCCTGCCCAGCTGCCCACGTGCAATCACACAGAGGGCGTGTTAGGGACCAGGAAGGACCGAGAGCTGCCAGACCCACCCTCCTGTGTGCAGGGTAAAGGGAGGAGTTGGTAGGATGGACAGAGGTGGTGGCAGGGCTCTGCCTGAGGTCACCCAGGCCAGCAGCCTCTTCACTCAACAATCACTCGCTTTGTGGTCATTCCCCATCCCTGAATAAAGGAACCAACAAAGGGCCATTGATGGAACACATGAACTTGTCTCTCCCCTTCCTCCGCAAGCCAGATGGGGCTGCAGAGCCAGAGAACAAGTCCCCGAGCCTGTGTCCTGAGAGGTCCAATGTATACACACAGCCATGAAATACGCTTAGGTGTTTCCCTAAGCGTGTTCCACAGCAGCCAGCCTCTTCCCAACCCCGCCTGCTTCGTGCCCACGTGCTGGGGATTCACCAGGCACGCCCACACGTCATCAGGCTGAAGGCCCCCCGAGGCTCTGCGATGCAGCGCTCCCTTTGCTTCCCTGAGCACCTGCCAAACTTCACCACCACAGCCCCTACCTCACAGCCCAGCCCTGGGCTTTTTATATCACCTGTGAGCTGCTAACCACAAGGTCATTGGTTCAAACCACCAGCCAATCACAAGGGAAAGCTGAGGCTATCTGTTCCCGTAAAGGTGAACGTCTCGGGAACCCAGAGGGGCATTTGACGCCGGCCCATGGGGTCATGATGAGTCAGAATCAACTGCATGGGTTGGGTTGGTTTGAGTCTGCAGAGCTGGAGTCCTGGGGATATACATGGGCAATGCTAAGCTAGAGTGATATACATGGAGCTGGAGTCCTGGGGATATACATGGATATATACGCTAAGCTAGAGTGATATACATGGAGCTGGAGTCCTGGGGATATACATGGATATATACACTAAGCTAGAGTGATATACATGGAGCTGGAGTCCTGGGGATATACATGGGCAACGCTAAGCTAGAGTGAATGTTATGGCCTGGGTGCCTGGCATGAAGTCCCCGGAACACAAATGGAATCCAGCCAGAGGGAGAAAGCGGAGCGCCTGGGGTGGGGACACAGAAGAGCCAAAGAAGGGCTGAGACCTTCAACTTCTCAGGTCCTGTGGCCATTTCTGGGCACCAGGGACAGGCCTACTGGTGCTCAGGATCTGAGCTGTCAACCAGCCGCCACCCACCACATATGGTTAATTATATGTAAATATGAATGAATTAGGAAGCCCTGGTGTCGAAGAGGTTATGCGTTGGGCTGTGATCCCCAAGGTCATCAGTTCAAACCCACCTCAGGAGAAAGATGGGACTTTCTCTTCTAGTAAAGACTGGCGGTCTCTGAAACCCACGGGCCAGTTCCACCTTATCCTACAGGGTCACCTATGTCAGTATTGACACCAGGGCTCATGGTTTGGGGATGAATGAATTAGGACTTCAAACAGTTCTTATGGTATGAAAATCGTCTCTTAATTTTTTCCCCCCGAATATCAGTGGCTTCATGGGGGGCAGGGGGAGGGAAGGAAGTGTGGAAGGAAAGCAATAGACTCAAGGGGAAGTAGGTGTTAACTTGGGTGATGGGGAAGACTACCCCACAAGAGGGAGATGGGGAAGAAAGTGGGGAGGAGGACAGGGCAAGCCATGGGGAGGGCAGAAAGGTTTAGGGTTATCAAATGCAGCCAGGATGATCTCATAGGTAAACACATACCTGATTCACAAGAAAAGATTTTTTTTAAAAAACACAGTTGGGGAAATGAGGACAAGTAAAATATAGAGCTTCTTCCATGAAAAAAAAACCCAGTTGTAATTAAAATGTATATACCCGGTATTCAATAGCCACACATGGCTAGTGGTTACCCAAAGGGACTGAGCAGGCACGGGGCATGTCTACACTGTAGGCAGTTCCATGGACGGCGCTGCTCTAGTACAGACCGCCGGTGGCTAGGGCCTGGACGGTGGGCAGGGCTGTGCCGACACAGGAGGTAACTGGGATCACAGAGCAGAGCTTGGGTGAGCAGCCAGGTTCCAAGAGGCGGAGGGTGGCATTTGGAAGTTTCTTCACGGACCCAAGGTGGGGGAGCAATGAAAACAGAATTCACAGGGGTCAGGCAGACACTTTATCTTCTAGGGCAGCTGGCTAGGGTGGGGCTACCCAGAGCCTCAAAGGGGGCAGGCCCTCAACCACTTCACCCAGACCAGGGCACCAAAGGATAAGACTGGGTGGGGTGGGAGGGGATAGACTGAGGGTCCTGCTCAGAGCCAAACCGCCTGAGCCCTAGGCTCAGCCACTCACTAACAACCAGGGTGGACACCCCTCTTTCACAGGGGCTCCACCTCCCAAGTCCCCACATGGGGACCTATCGGACAGGCCTAATCTCCAGATCTGATGTCAAACACCCCAGCTGGGGCCCTCTCTGAATCCCTAGGGGGTGCACACCATTCAGTACACAGCTGCAAGCGGACAGGTTAGCATTTCGTCTCCACCCAAAAGCACCGCAGAAGAAAGAGAGGCCCCGGACCCTACTTTTGAAGAACCAGTGAGGGAAATCCGATGTAGTAGTATTCTCCTCTGACAGACACAGGGTCGTCCGGAGTCAGACTGACCCCACGGCCACTGGGCTGGTTGGTGCCGCCTCCTTTCCTGCCCTTCTTCTGGTCCCCATAGCCCTTGGCAACTCCTAACACCTGGTAGCATGGACTTGTGTGTGTTTATCGGGGCTGCTCACCTGCTCCTCTCCCCTCGCGTCCCACCACCAACACACACCTAAATGCCAACTCCACAGAGAATTGAACGTAGTTTCTCTGGTACTTTCTCTACCACCAAAGTATAGCTTACACCTCCAAAACAAACCTACCGCCATGGAGCCAATGCCAAATCGTAACGGAGCCTGCGAATCTTTACAGGAGCAGACAGCCTCACCTTTCTCCCCAGAGAGCGGCTGGTGCGTTTGAACCACTGACCTGGCAGTTAGCAGCCCAATGCTTACGGGACAGCGCCTCCAGAGCTCTACCTCTCAGTAAGACAGACGAGTGTGATTCGAGCAAGGCCTAGCACAGGGTGCACAAACACAAGGTCCACACGTGGCCTCTGCACTAGCCCAGACCCCATGGCAAATGGCCACCAAATTAGCAGGAGATAAGAGCCTGGAGCTGACGGCCACTCTCGGTGGACCCACCCCAATGGCCATTCTCTGTGTGGGCGAGGCTAGGCCTTGCACATAGTAGGTGCTCCTTAAACATGTGTTTCCTTCTGCTTCTCCTTCGCCCCTCCCCTTGTTTTCAACACCCTGGGGCCACAGCAGCTACAGGCCCACCTGCGGGGCCTAGATACAGGGTGGCCTGGGTACAGTGAAGCAGGACGGGGAAAGCCGGGAGCTTCGTAGCATTCACAGAGCCAGATGGGCCAAGGAAGAGCTCCGGTGCTCCCAGCAGGGAAAACAAAGGAAACACTGCTTGACGGGGAAGGGAGGGTGCGAAGGGCTGGCTCCTGATCTGTAGCCCCCAGATGCCAGAACATGTCTGAAATAGGCATGGTCCTGACCAGAGGGCAGAGGACCTAGGATAATCCCCATGACGTCCCCTGGCTACATGAGCCCACGGTGCTGCCTGCCTGGCCTCATCTGTACCTCCCCAGGTCCTTGCTCGAGCATCCCTGCAGGAGGCTCTTCCCGCCCTCCAACGCTGGTCCAGGCCACCCACTCCTCATTCTTCCATCTCAGCCCCCATGCCGCCTTCTCCACGAGGCCTCCCGTCTACCCAGGTCCCTTGGGCGCTTCCTCTTCTTGCCAGTTGGGAGGCTCTCTGCAGTGCTCTGGGGTGTTTATTTTCCCAGCTTTGTTTTCGATCCCCCACCATGAAAACGCAAGCTGGCGGGAGAGCAGGGAGTCTGGCATGGTATCCTCCTTGTCCCCAGCGCAGTTGACCCTCGGTCTGGAGGCAGAGAATGACTGGGGCGGGTCCACTTTAGGAGGGGCTATGGAAATCGCCAGGCTTCTTGTACCCTGGCTGCCAAGGAGCTACTAAGTCCAATGTGCAGCTCAACCCCAGCTTCCTGCCACCTGGCAGCTCGGAAGTCTCCTCCTGCACCTTGATCTCAGCTCCCGGTTGACACTCTCTGTCGGCTCAAACCACAGGTCCTTCCATGCCTTGTCACACCAAGAGATCAGGAAATGCCACTGGAGAACGGGGATTTCTGGCTTCTCTGAAAACCGGAGGTTCTGGCTACGCTGGGCCTGCTTTGCAAGGGACAAGTGTGCGTCTCCCTGCCCAGCCCACAACCTCCTGTCTCTGTTCTCACCTCCCCTTCTGGCTGTTGACCTGGTCCAGCCCCGGGGCCGTGGCCTTGACCAGGCATACCCGAGCCCCAGGAAACCAGGGCAGCCAAGCTCTGGGCTGCCTGCCAATACCTCACACGCCTCTCTCTCCCAGAAGCCAGGTGCCAGGCTCTGCCATGTCGCAGCCCATCTAGAATTCTCACAACACAGGGCAGGTGGCGGGAGGAGGTGGATAGCAACCATGGCTCAGGGCTGGGGGTCCCAGACGGAAGACAGGCTCTCCAAGCAAGCCCACTGCCGCTTTCCGGGTAGTCTGGAACAAGAGCAGCCCCTCTCTGGACCAGGTTCTCAACGTGAAGAACTGAAGCCTCTGTTAGAGCTCCAAACCGAAGACAGTTGTTCCCCACCACCACCAGCAGCAGCACGGCCCCTCCATGTAGGCTAGGCTTGGGGGGTCTGGGCTCCTATTTGTGGGATCCCTGGGCTGGCTCCTCCCCAACCAGGTCTCACACTAGCCCTGGCACTGTTGCACCATCCCTCTCACCCCCCTTACTCCTAAGAGAGGACCGACTGAACCCCGAGTCCCTCAGAACCCCAACCCAGGCAGGGGCTTCTCAGGGTCCTCTAGAAAGAGGGCACAGCAGCCAGCCTGGAGGCCCCCGTCCAGTCTGCAAGTGGGATCTTTAGATCGTAAAGTGCACGGCCACGCGAAGAAGTCGGGAAACTGCACTGAAAAAAAATTGGGATTTCTGGCTTCTTTTCTGAACACCAGAGGCCCGCCCACTGGCTCATACCTCATACTTGCTCAGTCATTTTTGACAAGCCTTTCTCAGCAGAAGTACTGGAAATAGAATCTTCAACTGCAGCCCAACAGGAAAACAGGCCGAAGTGAAACCATCCTGGTGAGATGGTGCCAGGCATGGCCTTGGGTCCCCTAAATCCTAACCTCTATGCCCTTGGCTCTAATGCCATTCAGGAGTGGGGTGCCTTTGTTATACAAATTGAGATGGTTTTGTTATACTAATTGGGTAGAATGAGTTTACTGTGGGCCTTAAGTCGATCTCTCTGGAGATTCTAAAAAAGATTAAACCAGCAACCGAGTGGGCAGAGTGGAGAGAAAGCTGCCTCGTCACATGAAGACCACCAGGGAACACAAGGCTCAAAAGAGACCAGGAGCTCCCGCCTCAGGAGCCAACAGAAGGAGGAAAGCATCCCAAGAGCCTGCACCCTAAACTCTGCCTGGCTGCCTCCTTTCCACGAGGAAGGCCACCTCCCTGTATTAAAGCCTCGCGCTGTGGTCTTGTCATCAGAACAGCATAAAGGAACCACGTGTGGGTCAAAGGCTGGGTTCCCTCCACCCACGTGTCACCCCAACACGAGTCGCTAAGGCTCGTCCACAGACCACCAACGCTGAAGTCACTAATTGCCCTGTGTGGTGCTGTCGGAGAAGCACCGACTGCTAACCGTAAGGCCAGCGGTTCAAACCCCTCAGTCACCCCTCTGGACCAAATGAGACCCGCCTGCTTCTAGGAGGTGTTAGTGTCTCTTTAGCAGCCCTGGGCAGGGCTGCTAGGAGGCAGAGTGGACATGATGGCCATAGCTGCAATGTCCCTGTGACAGTTCGAGCGCCACCAAAGGGACATCGTGCTTTCACACTGCCAGCACCGGGGAGCTCACTACCACCTGGCCTGGCCTAACCCCAGGCCTGCTGTCTGCCTTTTCATAGCCCTGTCTCCTCCTCACCATGGGGCCAAGACCACATGCCGCTCCCACCCCACCCCACCTCCAGCAACGGGAATGAGAGCCTTGACACTTTGCTTTTCCAGAATGAAGGGCTGGCCCTCCTCCTCTGGCCACACGTGGGCCTCTTTGCGTCCCCCTCCACCTCATCCCCCAGCCCAGGAAGGGCTCCGGGCTGCAGTTCCCATGGCCCACCGCCCTGCCCCGTACCTTCAGCTCATTGAGGTAGCGCCTCGTGTGCACCAGCAGCAAGTCCTCCTCGGAGGCCTCCCGTGCCTCCACCAGCATGCCGTCCGACAGAAGCTTCTCCTCTGAAACCACAGAACGGCACCCGCTGCTGACTTGGCCCCTCGGAGCCCTTGTCCTTGGAGGAGGAGGGGGGGTGCTAGCTCAGGGCATTCTGAGAAGAGTCACCTCCCAAGCCAGTGACCCCAGGTTTCTGAGCCACAAGTGAGTCCAGGTGTGGCCAAGCCATTGTCAGGGGCAGGTGACCCAGGAGCCAATGATGCAGGCTGAGCCTCAAGGTGAGTCAAGCTCCTTAGCAACTCTCTCTCTCAAACTTCTGATGACATCTGGGGGGTCTCAGAGTCCAACTGGACTCCGTGTGGTGCTGGCACCCTCTGCTACCACCTGCCTGGCACTGGCTGTTTCTGAATGGAAACGGTAGGTCATCACTTCACAGCCTGCAGGCAGTAGAAAACCGGCTTGCGTGGATTCACACTGCTCTGTTCTCATGGCCTGTATTTGGTATCTTGACCTCCTATTGATGGCAACTGAAACTCGCGTTTCTCATGTAGATCAATCACAAAGTGTTTCCTTTGAAAACAAGTTTAAGTGCTTAACAGCGAGGTGAAGTCAATGAAAATATGAACAACATAATGGAGCCCAAGGGTGAAGAGAGGGCAAGGCCCCAAGAGTGGTTTCTGGAAGACTGGTGTTTAGAAAGCACGACATCATTTGACCATCCTTGCACACACCAGGCGACGTTCCCTCCGCGTAGCAAATGAAGAGACTCGGGCTGAGAGGAGGAAGGGCCTCTGGGGACAGGGAGGATCGGATCACGGTGCTCTAGGGACACTGACGTGACAACGTCAGGCCTCAGAGGCTCTATCTTATTTAATGCATCATCCAGAGAAATCAATAGCTCCAGGAGTTCCCACCTAGAGTTCCAGGTACACACATACTCCTCCTCCTGGAACACGCGTGACTCCCCATGGCCTCAGGCAAGGGACCAACTCCTTTCTTCCGTGACTTTCAATGTCTTTCACCATGTAGTCCCTGCTTCTTCTCTACCCTCCTCCTCAGGGGAGAAAAGGGTGGAGCTCAGGGTTGGTTGGTCGGCACAGGGAGAGCCCGTCTGCTGAGCTCCTGCATGGAACAGGAAGGAGTCTGAGAAGGAGCAACCAGGGGAGCAGTTCGGCCTTCTGGTTAACACACTCCCTGTGTTCTTTCTACCTCCTGTTTTTCTTTCTGGTCCCAACTACCAATGGAAAACCACTAGCACCTGCCAGAAATAGAAGTGAACTGAAATTAAAACACACACACACACACACACACAACCCTGGAAGCAAACATGGCTATTGTTATTGTACAGGATCTACTTGGATCGTTGTCTGCAAAGCACAGAAGCTTGCTCTAGACTTGTCCAAAAGGGAGATAGACGGGCAGATCTTGAGAGGTGCGAAAGATAGGCTAGTCCCAATGTGAGGCTGTCTATCTCCTTGGTATCATCAATAGCGTCACGTTTCATCCCATGCCAGGTAACCTTTCCTCTCCTTCCCTCCAGGTAAGAAGCCTGGATGGAGAAGACCAGGAGACTATTCGTACAGTGGTCCACTGTGAAGCCTGACTTTCCCTACCTACGTCAGACCACTAGATGACAAACTGCGGCTGGAAGGTATGTGCTCCACAGTGTCTCCCTGCTCGGTGAGGAAAGCCAGGAAGTGACCACGGGAGCCCTGACAGGAACCTAGGGTTCCAGACCTCACTCTGCCAGGTAGGAACAATGGGCACCTTTCCTAACCGTTCTGGGCCCCACCTTCCCCACCTGTATTCAAAGCATTGGAGCAAAGGCTCTCTGAGCTCTCAAAGCTTGTATGACACAGACACTGGGCCTCTCCAGACGTTTGCTCTGCTGCGTCCATCACTCATCAGCTCCCTTCCTACTAGGTCTCCATGGCCATGGTGAGCCAGCGTGGGTTTGGGACTGGCACATGCGGTACTTCTAGGGGCTAGGTGGGAACGATACCCCTGACCGCATGGGTAGAAGTGGGGAAGTGGATGGTTTGAGGCTTGCGTTAAAGGAAAAGGCAGTAGGAACCACAGCGAGATGGGGGACAGGTGGGGTGGAGGGAGTGGATGTAGGGTGAGAGAGAACCTTGCGTACCTTTGAGGAAATTGATCACTTTGCCCCATTTTCCCGCATCGAAGGGGTGCAGCTTCTCCAGGCCCATGAAGGTGATATTATATCGCGGCGAGTACACAATGGGCCAGCGTGTCTCCGGCACCGGCTGGTACAGCTGGGTTGCGTGTGCCCTTGAGTATGCATAGAGGGGGCGCCCTCAGTGTGGAGAGAAACCTTCAGGGCCACTCCTCCCCATGACCCCATTTTAGCTGACCACATAGCACCAGCATCACTCCCTGGGGCCAGAAAGGGGCCACTTAACCAGAGTAGCAGTGGCATCGGCAGCAGTGAGAACCCCCTTTACTGTGCTCACACTGTCCTCTCCAACATCTAACCTCATCTTCACAGCCGCCTGGGAGGCAGGCATCGTGACCCCTCAGGGGCTCAGGGAGGACCAGAGGTACCCAAGGTCACACAGCAAAAGGGTGGGGGGGAGGGGCAGTGGGGTGCTCAAAGGTCTCAGCATCACTCTCTACATTATAACCACAGCCCCTAGTAACTGTGTGGCCCCGGGCCCTTAGCCTCCGTTTCCTAAATGGTGAAAGGTGGGCTGTGGGGACATGGACAGAATGGATCGCTGGAGTGGGCACAGAAAGCGCACTGTGAGAGCCTGGTTGGCTGTTCCCAGAAACAGCAAGTCGAGCTCAGAGGCTAGGGCCCCACCCCCAGCCCCGGTGTGTGGAGGGGGGCGGGGGATGTCACCTCGGGCCCGCCCGCTGGGAGGCTACCCTGCGGTCACCGCAGCAGCTGCCACCTCGGCCCCAGAACCCCACCGCTGCAGGTGCCTCGGTACAGCTCGGGCCCAGGGCAGGGCAGCCTTCAGACCAAGGCCTGTCGCTAGCGCCTGCTGGGTCGAGACTGCGCGACAGGGTCGCTGCCCTCCGCCAGAGAAGGGGCTCCAGCTAGCTGAGCGCGCAGAACCTGCCAGGGCGTCCCCTCACCTGAGCCCGCACCTGGTGGGTCTGCCTGGCTACCTGCGCACTCAAGGCCCTGTCCGCGGGGACCCCTGGGAACCCCTAAGGCCAGGTCCAACGTCCCACCCGCAGTCCCACGCCCACCGCACTCACATCCCCCGGCCAGGACCTTCCTGCGGTGGCAGCGCTGGGCAATCAGGTGGGGCGGGGCGGGGCGCTGGCGGGGCGGGGCCCCGCCCAGGACACGCCCCCGGCCCGGTCGCCTCCACTGTGGGGGCGGATCTCCGGCAAGGCTCGGCTCCGCCCCACCAGCGTCCGTTCGTGCGTCACGGAGGAATGGAATCCCGCGCTCAACTCGCTGCCCGAATGAGGCCACGCCCCCAGGCCAGTCAGGCGCGAGGTTAGCCCAGTGCCAGCCAATACCCATGGAGCCCCGCCTACCGAGGAAATCACGTCCCTTGGTGGGCGGGACCAAGCCGATCTTTCCCCGCTGTGCGTCACAGAGGGTGGGAGCTTACGTCATCGCTCCGCCCCAGGGGAGGAGCCATTTATTTCCCTCAACTCCTCCCCCGCCACCACCCCCTCTGGCAGTCCTGCGTACCCGCGGAAAACCTAGTCCTCTGGCATGCTGCCCTATGAATTCCTGTTCATAGCACGCAGCTTCGACCTTGTTTGGTAATGGCCTGGTGAGTTTGAACAGCTGACCTTTGGGTGAGCAGCCCAACACTTAACCCACTGCGACACCCTGAACCCCAGCTGGATAGAAACTGGAAAAACACAAACCCAAAACCCTGCTGGGGACGCCACCCTGACTCACAAACAAGGCAGACTTGGTTTCCCTGCCAGGGAAGGGGTGCGGTGGTTAAGCACTCAGTTGTTCCCCCAAAAGTCAGTTGGAGGTTCAAATCCATCAGTCGCTTTTCGGAGAAAGATGTGGCCAGAGGGCTCCCTAAAAGTGTGCATCCTTGGGAACCCCGTGGAGCGGGTCTACTGGACTCGAAAGTCGTGCCGCGTCAGGACTGATGGGGACAGGTTGATTATGACTTTCCCGCCAGCTGGCACTGTGCCCCCTCGGGCCAGCCTCCTTGATCCCCTCAGCTACTTTCACAGCTAATGAGGGATTGCACTGGCCCTGCCATCTCCGACCTAACAGCACCCATACCTGGTCCATTTGAGGCCACACAGCAGCCCTGCCAGAGTAGACCCCCTACCCCGCCCCGTCTTCCTTAGCTCAGTTTCCTCCTCCAGCCCACACGGAAAAGCCAAGACAAGCCTGAGCTGCCGCTAAGCGTGTCTGTGGGGCAGGAAGGAAGCCTAAGAACAGTCCAGAGGAGGAAACAATGAGCCTCTGTCTACCCAGCTGTCCCTCCAACCAGAGACATCTGACCATAGGGCTGCCAGGAGCACCACTGGGACAGAGAATGCTGCAGAAGGCAATCACTGGACGAACTGTGAAGGAGAGCTGACCAGATTTGTGTGTGTGTTCATTGTAGTGAAATACATATAACAGAGCACTTGTCCTTTCAAGCCTACTCCTATGAGGAGCTCCATCCCAATTTTATGGTGAGGTCACAGGTTTTAGAGCCCGAGTTAAAACTCAGACCCAGCCACCTTGCCAGCATCTAACGTTTAGTAAGTTGATTCAGCCTTCTGGGCCTCAGTTCTGCATCTGACACATGAGGGGATGTCTGCTCAGCCTGCCTCAGGATAGCGTTGAGGGAAGAGGTCATATGATTGAAGAGCACTTCCTGTATGTTGAGGATCCCGCATGCTATAGTGGGTTACGCATTGGGCTGCTAGCTCCACAGGAGAAAGAGGAGACCCCCTGCTCCTATAAAGATTCACAGCCTAGGGCACCCACAGGCATCATTGTGTTCTGTAGGCCCTGTAAGTGAGCATCACCCCAATGGCAGGGACCTTGGGTTTTCGCCGTCTTGGTGTGTGCTAAGGTTCACTTTAGCAGAGTTTCCAGACTCAGATTAGGAAGAAGGGCCTGGCATTCTACTTTTTTTTTTTTTTGGAGGTCTCAGTACTTAAAAATATATATTCTTAATAAATTATTTGATTGGGGGCGCTTAATATAACAGCCCATACATCCATTATATTAAGTGGATATGTACAAATATTGCCACCAATGATTTCAAAACATTCTCTCTTTTCTTGAGCCCCTTGATATCGGTTCCTCTTTTCCCCTCCCTCTCCCCTCCGCCCTGCCACCCTCGTGAACCCTTGATATGTTATGTATTGTTCTTTATACATATCTTAGACCGCCCCTTCTATCCCTTCACCTATAATCCTGGTATTCATCCCCCTCGAGGAGGGTGGTTTCGCCATCATTGCTATCAGCTCCCCCTTCCCGCCCCTTCCCTTCCCCTGAAGTCGTTACTCCCGTAACTGTTGCAGTCTACTTCTTAAAAAACTGACCAGTGGAAGCCTTGTAACCAGCGCTGGGACTCTGTCTGACATAATACCCAGCAGATGAGCTCCTCTGGTGCAAAGGCACTCAAACTATGGAGAAGAGCGCCTGCCACGAAGCACAACCCACTTTAATGATGTGGGTGGAGCAAAGCTCAGGCAAGCTTTGTTTGCTGGTGTGGTGTGGTGCGGCATGAGTCAAAATGAGCAGAAACAGCTTCAACTATCCAATAGTAATCGGAACGTGGAATGTACAAAGTATGCAACTAGAGGAAATTTGAAACTCATTAGTAAAAAAATGGAATCCCTAAAGATCCGTATCCCAAGCATTGGTGAACTGCAATGGACTGGTATTGACCATTTTGAGTAAGATAACCCTATGGACCTGGCACTCCAGTGTGAGAGAGAGGGCTTCTCGACTTATGGACTGGATCTGGACAGGGCTGGGGTGTTTTCTCAATATCCAATTGCTCTTTTATATAAAACTCTTTCTTGTACACATGAGTGTCTCTGAATTTGTTCCCCAGACTGATTGCCCCAGACTAATGCAATGCTGGGTCTAGTCACCAGGTAGCCAGAGAGATGGAATGCCAGTTGTCTTTATATATTTCAGTCATCCTCCAATCAAGCTGTGACCTGATTACACTCTGGCCACATGTTCCTAGTGGCCTAGTTGGCACAATAAACCTACCTATCACACAGGGTTGGAGAATGGATGGGGCAGTTCTTGGGGCTGGCAGCAGTGGGGAGCCAGTACCCCTAAACTTGAAGGGAGAAAGTGAGGTTACTGGAATCAGTGAGAGTGACAGCTATAGACCAGGGATCACTGGAGAGGAACCATAAGACCTGGTCACTGCAACATCGGATGAGTGGTCAAACATTCCCGGTCTCTCACTCCAGCCCTCTGATAACCAGCAAGTGCCTTCCATTGGCAGGGCCCAGACCATGGAAGCCAGGTGATGCCTGCCATCCAAGGGTCAGACCAGGGTGAGGTATTCTGGAAAAGCTTGGACATTGCTCCAGCGCTCTCTGAGCCATTCTGTAGCAGGCATTAGTTGGGTTTAAGAAGTGACCCTGATTACTGTCCCTGGGATACTTACAAACGTCTTGTTGAGTCCCAGTACCCGCAGGGCACTTACCATCCGATCAGGAGCTGGTCCAACCTGATAACTGGGTGATCCCCAGAAGGACAAGAAGTCACTGCATTGATGAGAACCACAGCCTCTCAAGACCTTCAGGGATGAGCCTCAGAAATGTGGACTCCATGTGCTGGGTGAAATCATCGCTGCCCTCTCTGGGCTCCTGGTACTGACTTGTACCAGTGAGTCTTGGCTCTGATGGACTTCCATGGCCATGGGAGCACACTAGCCACCAGCGCTGCCTGGCCTCTGTCACGCATTCTTAATTAGCTCCACTCCCTGCCAAGGCATGTGAGGCAAACCACACACACACACACACACACACACACACACACACAAAGAGGTTCTCTTCAGCTGTGCAGATGGTGAGAGATACAGCATCCCACAAGCACAGGTATAGACACACAGCATCACAGACACACAGCATCACAGTCACACAGATACACAGCCACAAGTACAGAGACAGCCTCACAGTCCCACAGATGCACACAGGCACACAGACACAGACACAGACCCTCACAGGCACACACTTTCTGCCATGCCCCAGCCCCCAGTTTGGCAAGGCCTGCTGATGCTTGGAGTCTGTTTCCCTGACTGGCCTAGGGTGAGGAGGGGGTGCTCTGTAATGTACTGCAATTCCCTTTGTGCCTTCTTCCTCCCTGTGCCCCTTCTCTAGAAGGGAAGAGTGGCGGGAGCCTACGTATTAAAAGGAAGAGAGTAAACAAGCGAATGAATGAACTAAAGTATATCTGGGAGTCACAGATACATCCATCTATACAGGCGCCATGGGCAACCTTGGACTTTGTTGGGCCGTAATGCTTATACAATGGGAAAGAGGGCTCCTTTAAGAAGAAGAAGATTAAAACTAGGATCTCAGATTAGTTCCAGGACTCGAAAGAGGCCTTGGAGCTAAACAAAAAGTCTGCTTCCATGACAGCAGGAACCACAGACATGTAAGCCCACCGACGCCCATGGCAGTCCAGACAAGGTTGTCAAACCCCACCCCCACCCCCAGCACTCCACCCAAGCCAGTCCCATGACCTTTTCATGAGGATGGGTGCTAGAGGCCCATAGATAGAGGCCCATAGATAGAGGCGAGGGAAGGCCTGCGTCCTACCTGGATCCTCATGGAAAACAGTGGCGGATTGGACTGTGCCAACAGCTCAGGAACTCAGGAGCTAACCAAAAGTTTGGGGGCCCTTCGGGGGGGGGTCTAGCTATCTACCTCTGAAAACTCAGACCTTGGAAACTCCGGGGGGTTCTAGTCCGAGGGATGCCGTTTTTCTTCTGCTTCCTCCCGATGCAGAAAACCTCATGAAAACGAAATTGGCTCGGATGCCGCCATGCAGCGGATCCTAGTGGCATTTAAAAATAAAGGTCGTGCATGCATACATTTGGAAAATTCAAACAGTGGCAGCAGATTCTGAGAGGAAAGCAAGAACTTCCTTCCCCACTGCAGTGCCCCTCCAGGGACATGACCGCTGTTTTGCATTTTCTCCTGGAACGCGCCCCATCCCAGCATTTTTACTTTAAAAAAAAATCACACTCTGCCCATCATTTGGAACCTGGTGATTTTTTTTTCACCTAAAATCTCTTTGCAGATCTTTTCACATCAGTACAACCGGATCTAT